ACAACAATACTAAGTCTATACCCCAAAACGATCAAAGAAAGAGGAAAAGAACCCACATGTACAAAAAAATTTATACCAGTTTTTTTTGTTTTTTTGTTTTTTTTTTTTTTTGCAATAACAAAAAGCTGGAAACTGAGGGGGTAACTGCTGAATAAGTTATGCCATGTGAACGTGAAAGGAATATTATTGTGCTATAAGAAATGACAAAAGGGATGGTTTCAGAGAAACCTGGGAAGACCTGTACAAAGTGGTGCAATGTGAAATGAGCAGAACAAGAACAATTTATATAACAACATCAATATTGTAAAGACAAAAACTTTAAAAGACTTATAACTCTGACCAATTCAATGAGAAACCATGACTTTGGAGGATGTATGATGAAACAGTACCCATTTCTTAGGGTGGGTGATAGACTCGAAGTCAAATTGTGACATGTATTTTTTGGATATGGCCAATGCAGGATTTTATTTTTCCTGGCTATAGATGTTTTTAAAAGGAGATTTATTATTTTTTTCTTTCTCAATGGCAATTGAGAAAGGCAAGGAAATTGTGGGGTGGAGAAGGATAGATAGAAGGCAGATTTCTGTTTAAAATTTGTAATTAAGGAAAAAAATATGGAAAATTAGGCAGGTCCTCCAAGACTGGACATGGGGAAATGTCTTAATTTTCAAGTACAGGAAAGAGAACAGTCTGTAAACTACAGGCCAGTGAGCTTCACTTTAATTCCAGGAAAAATTCTAAAATGAATCATAAAAGAGATGGTTGAGGAACATTTAGAAAAGGAAGCAGTGATTAAAAAGAGCTAATCTGGGTTCATTAAAGAAAAAATCATGTCCCACTAATCTCATTTTCTTTTTTAACAGGATTGCTCAACTAGTAGAATGCTGTGGGAAGTTTACTTAAATTTTGGCAAAGCTTTTGATAAAGTCTCTTGTGTTATTTTTGTGGAGAATATGGAGAGATATGGCTTAGAAGGATGGATTAAGATCTGGTTAGTTGGCCAATCTAAAAGAGTCACTGTTAGTGGCTCAATGTTAACTGTTAAGGGGACTGCAGAGGAATAATTCCCTCAGATGTATGCTATGACTAATCAATGACACAAAGCTGGGGGAAGGAATCTCTCCCATACAGTGGATAAAAGAATCTAGATCCAAAATTATCTAGGCAGGCTCAGAGCAGTGAACTGAATCTAGTAAGATGAAATTCAATAGGGATAACAAAAATTTACACCTGGTGCAAAAATCAACTTCACAAGTATAAAATGAGAGAGGCATGAATTGATAGCAGTTGTTCCTGAAAGGATCTAAGAATTTTAGTGTTCTGCAAAATCAGTGAGAAAATAGTGTAATGTGGCAGTCAAAAAAGCTAATACTCTCTTGAGGTGCATTAAGAGAAGCATACTTTCTAGGAATGGAGAGGGAGATAATAATCAATGCAATATTCCCTCATCAGATATCTGGAATGTGATCAGTTCTGGGCAAAGTGGTCGAACAAGGGCATAGATATAAACTAGAGAAATGTTCAAAAGGCGGCAAGCAGGATGATAAGGGGACCTGAGTCCATGACATATCAAGATCAACTGAAGGAAATAGGCATGTTTATCCTAGGAAAAAGAAACTCAGGGGGTATAGGATAGCTGTCTTCATGTATCTGAAGGGTTGTCACATGTAACAGGGATTAGACTCATTCTGTTTGACTTTAGAGGGAAGAATCAGGAACAAATCTTGTTACTGATGTTATAGTGCAAATTTGTTTAGTATACGGATTAACTAGACAACCACTGAGATCCCTCCAAATTTTCACATTTAGTATTTGCCTACCTTCTTTCTTATATCCATTTTTTACTAGTCATTTTTCAAAATCAGTTCCATGAATTAAGTTATCTCTGCATGGATGGATTCCAACCATTCTCTAAAGCCCAGCAGCTGAAACTCTGAGGATCCTATTTGATAGACTACTTACTACTATACCCTTTGATGGAACTTTATATTCTCAAGTATTTAGAGAATCAAACCTTTGACACATAGGTATTTTTGTTGGGTCAGAGGATTATAAAAATATGGATTTATATAGCAGGTCATTCTTTACTATTGTTGGCAAAATCTAGTTTCAAGAAGCTTGCTGAATTAAAATATTTTGTTCTCCTAATTTTTCCTTCTCAAAAATTACAGCAAGCCAGACCGATTAAGGGAAAAATTTGTATAAGACTATGACATGATCAATTCTATAAACACTACCAAGCCTTTAAACATTTATCAATTGAGATTACTGCAGAAGATACTTATATCTATATTTTTAAATGGCTGAGCTCTCTGTAAAAGGTACTATGCTATCACCTATTACTGATGGCACCTATGTATCAAGATACTAATACTTAATAGATGCTCAATAAATTCTTGTAGAAATGACCATCTGGAATTTGATCATGAAAACTCAAAGTTTTGGCAATGAACCTCAAATACTTTATTAGAAAAACAATTTCAAAATAATTTGTAAACTTTTAATTATATTCAAAATATAACTAAATATTTCAGGTGTATTGGCAGCTTTTTTCAGAACAGAAAATCAATGTCTGATAGTAAAATTCAAAATGACATTTTCACAATGAACTGAATGTAGATTTTTAAAATTACACATGAAGAGAAAATGAGAGGTAGCATGATTTAATAGACAGAAGGCCAGTCTTGGAGTTAAGGAGACCTGGGTTCAAGCTCTGCTTCAAATACACATAGAGCAGCTGGATAGCCATGGACAAGTTATTTAACCTTTCAAAGCCTCATGCTACTCTTTTAAACCATCAGCTACAGATAAGCTGCCTGATCTATACTGGAAAGGGTTAACAATGAAATCACACATCTTGACACATAAATTCGTACAAAAAATAGTTGTGTTTTTAAAAGGTTAACTTTTCCTTAAGTGAAATGCAGCCTCTCAAAACAAAACCAAAAAATTTCTTCCATCAGCCTTTTTATACAAACAAATGAAATATAGTAAAGTGACAATAAAATAGCCTAACCCTCAGAAAATAAAATATTCTACTCTTGTAAAAAAGTAACAACTAAATATTAAAATAAAAAAATTTTCAAGAGAATTTTATGTAAAACCAATTCCATGGTTTTAAATAAATAATTTCAAATTCTTTTGCTCTTTTACTACACATCTCTTTCAGTTATATTTGTCTACCCTACACATAATAAAACAAAATTAGTATGTAGATATAAGTATTCTATCTATAACATGATGCAGCTAAAGACTGCTTTGCTGTACAGTAAGCTTTTATTCTACAATAATAATTGTAACAACTGTTGGCAACTGTAAAAATACAATATACATCTATGCTAGGAACAGAAGCTAATGTTTAATGAAATGTTAAGACATTTACAAAATGCTTTTTTTTAAAAAAATCAACAGTTAATTCCTTCACTAATGTACATTGCAGAAAACCAAATAAGCCTGCCTTTCCAGCAAGTTACAAATGAAAATGATATTCTGATTTGGAATAGAACATAATTTTCATCTGCTGCATTTAAAAACCCTTTTATCAGAATGATGACACTTCCCTGCATGTTTCCAACTACCAGCATTACAGCAACAAAAATGTGATCAGAAGCGTGGTTGGAGTACGTATACCAAAGTCAAACTTATGAAAACAAAATCAACTTGTTTTTCCCCTTTTATACATATACACAATGGTGAATACAAAGCTACTAGATGTTCTAAATATTTGTTACGAATAATATTTTCTTTCCTATATAAGAGCAAAATGAAAAAAGTGTATTTGAGAAAATATTATTCAGCTTCTTTGAAAAACAATGCATCACAAATTCAAACTTTGCGTGCTTACTGTGTTTCCACAAAATACTGCTGTCTGATTAAGTATCTTCCACTTCCAACCAGTGGAAAAAAACATTTTGCCTTCAGCTTTACAGATTAAATAAAGCTCAAAGGAGAAACAAGGCCTGGGATCAAAAATGGTAGAAAAGTACTGTGACATTTTATTACTACTTAGTGCAGGTGAATTTCACTATCCACACTTTAAAATGCTAAGTAAACCTTAAGTACTTATGCATAAGAGAAATTCCAGTTACTAAAAACTGAACTATAACGCCATTAAAAAAAGTTATGCTTTCTTAAGGACAAGTCTAATAGCTTTCATGGGTGCTAAGACCCTGAACCTCATGCAAACATATCACAGATGTCCTTTCCCTAAGAAAAGGACTGAAAACAATACACATTATTAATGGGATTTAATTCTCTTAAAGGTAAAGGACAAAATTCTATTCTCACCTCTACTCCAGATAAAGAAAAAAATAAATACAATGGCATATGAGTGTGTGTGTGTAACATATACACACACACACACATATACATATATATGGGGGGGGGAGAGAGAGAGAGAGAAAGAGAAAGAGAGAGAGAGAGATTGAGAGACTCAATGAAAAAAATTCTTCATTTTTGGCCAGGAACCTCTGTCTACACTCCAGATCCTTCCACGTGAGCAAAATCTATACTAACTTTAATGAATGCATCTTACACCCCACCTGTCTTTGAGAAAACGACAACTTCATTTGCAAAGGAATTTTACAAAATAGCAAATGATAATTTGTTGGAGATGGAATAGGGAGCATAATTACATAAGGAAATGGTTGAAAGTCTTACTAAATGCCTAATTGCCACCAATGGTTATTTCAAAACAAAACAAAATAAAAACAAACAACAAATAAAGGAAAATAGAAAAAAATACTATTGATACTTGATTTTTCTCAAAGGCTAATCTGAACAATGGTACCCAGAAGTTCTACTTTATCCGTAAGCCTTCAAAACACACAGCTCACTTTGTCTCTGGTATACAATTTTGTTTTTTAATCCAACAATACCATAATAGTTTGTGTGCAATAATTCTGGACTTTGGAAATTCACTTTAGGCAAATAACCAGTAAACAATTTAATGCTACTGCTATCTATCCAAAAGACCAAACATATTATTGGGAAAAAAAAAAGATAATGCAAACATTTGCTTAAAATTTGGCTACATGCAAAGCTATGGTTTTGTGTTTGGATTTTTTCCTAAAAGTTAAGCCAAACCTCTAGTGTATCTCTTTAGTGTTTCTTTTTTCACTTTCCCAAAACAGTAGGAACTGCAACTATGAGCACGAATAATTTTAAGCAATTAGCCAATCTTCTGTAATTTTCTTTCTACCAAGTCTTAGACAGTATTTATTTTATAATCTAATTTTATTCAATTGTGTTTCTCTGTGGGTATGCATATAAGTGCATGCCCAAAGAGAAATAGAAAATGTCTACATACAATTTACACAATAGATATATACATACATACATTATATATACATACTAATGAGACCGCATGATTTTTGGTAAAAAAGTACATGCTTTTTCTACCACAATGTTCTTGCATTGGTCTTACAAAAGTAATAGAAACCTTTTGCAACAACTGAAGCATGTACTACTGCTGATTCAAGATTTTAATAACTTGTAGGTTAAAAAAAAAATACAATGCCTAGAACACTGTTATCAAACAAATATGTTTTATTGGCAGCTAAAAACAGAATTCACCCAACAATGAAACTTTTTTTATATTTTTTTTCTTTCTTTCTTTTTACTCACTGCAGTACGAGGAACAAATCACAGACACTTACTTTGGAGATAACAGAGACCATGGTGTAGATTTTACAAAATCATTTTTAAAATCTCTGTATTGTGCTCCTCAAATGACTATGAGTCAGTCTTTGTTTTGTTTTTTGTTTTTGCCAAATAGCAGAACATAAAATATCACAGCTTTGTCTATACTTTAAAATTCTGCAGCAACCTAAAGACATGGACAGATACACCACCAACTGTTGTTTTCAAGTATATCAATTTCCATATCAACCTAATAGTAGTATCTAAAAAATTCACTTTCTTCCATAGGAAGTCTTTGTTTGACAAGCTGTTATTCATCTCTTTGACGTTTTAAAAGTATCTGGGGCAACATTTGAAATTTATCAGAAAATAAAAAATGTTTACCTACCATGTTCAAATTAAGAACAGTGTCTATACAAGTCAGTTGTACAATTATTTAAGTGAAAGATGAACATGAACATCAGATTAACTTAATTCTGGCAGACAAAAGTGAACTACTAAGGTCCAGTCAGCCATTTATCTATTACAGAGAGATGACAACTTTACAAAAGGTATCTTTTACCTACTGAGTGATGATTATGTCCCCTCAGTTTCTGTGCTTTCTACCACTGGTTCACTTTCTATATCAGCTTCTGTGTCACTCTTCTCTTTGTTTATTTCACTTGAAGATGTCAGTTTTTCATAAAGTTCAGGATCATTCTGTACTTGTAAAGGTGGTGGTTGATTATCTGTCTCTGTATTTTCACCATTTACCTGGGGTACATTATCTGCTTTTCGTTGAGAAGTGGCCCCTTCAAAATAATCAAAAACTCGTGGATGTGGATGTGGGACCCAGGTGTTCTGAATTCTGTCTCTTCCAAAACGATTCCCATTAATTTCTCGGCAGAAATCAAAATCTCTGTCATCTCTATCCCTTTGTCTTTCCCAGGGTCTTCTGCGGTCATCAAAATCTCTGTGAGCATCCTGTCCAAATCCTCTGTTCCAAATGGGACCACTTCTAGGATCAAACCTATAATTCCCATGTCTAAATCTACCTCTGTCTTCATGGAAGCCTTTGGGACCACCATAGAGAGGTAAAACACGATGCTCTCTTTCATCAAAATCTCTATGGCCCCAAGGCTTATCTGAATTAAAACCAAAGTGGTCTCTTCGACCAAGGTTCTCTATACCTGGTCTTACAAGATTTTCTCTTATATCTATATGTGGTCTTCCAAAGTGTTCCCTTCCATCTATTGGAGGTCTTCCTGGACCTTCTCTTGGATCTACAGGTCGCCCCACTACGTCCCTAACATCCACTGGTGAAGGTCTACTAATGGTTTCCCTGTTTTCTATAGGAGGAAAACGATAATCTCTATCTCCTTCCTGTTGAATACTATCATTCCCAAGTGGTAGCCTTTTTTCTGGATTAGGAATATGATCTATATTTTGTCTTAAAGGAGCTGGAAAAGGTCTCTCTGCCTGACTGAAAATATCTCCCGGAGCAAAAGGACCACGAGGTGGAGGATGAAGAGATGCATCAAGGATTGCTGGAGGAGGGATTCCTCTTTGCGGTGGAAGTCCAGGTTGCATCAAAGGGAATCTTGGCCCAGGAGATTGTGGTATAAGTCCTGGACGAATATCTAACATTGGTATTCCAGGCATCCGCTGACCAGGAATATTTAATGGGGGTAAGTTTTGAGGCCCAGTTGGTGGCTGTGGTCCCAGAATTCCAGAATTAGTTGGAACATTTGGTGGCTGAACTCCCAGGAGTCCAGAATTGCTAGGAATATTTGGAGGTGGTACCCCCAAGAGTCCAGAACTACCTGACACATTGGGTAGTTGTGGTCCCAGAATTCCAGAACTACTTGGAATATTTGGTGGCTGTGCTCCAATAATTCCAGAACTACTGGAAACATTAGATGGCTGTACTCCCAGAATTCCAGAATTGCTTGATACATTTGGTGGCTGTCCACCCAGAATTCCAGAACTGCTTGACAAATTAGGTGGCTGCCCACCTAGAATTCCAGAGCTACTTGAGACACCATTGTGGATCACTAAAATGGAAAGACAGAAAGCAAAATTATAAATATTCATTAAAATGAAAGGTACCCAATATAAAATGCATTCACAATAGGAAACTTAAGTTCCTGACAATGAAATGGAGCACTATGAAAATAGTAATGCAGAAGGATCAAAACACCTATTAATTTTAATAGATGGTAGTCAGTCAAGAAAAGTACTAGATTACTCAAAAAAATTTTAATTTTTTAAAAAATCCAAACCTATCTATAACATCTTGCCCTCATTTTTAATCTTGTAGAACTTTCTTACAAATGTATGTGAGCTGGGTGATAATGCACATGAATCTTAGTACTTTAAACCACTCATATCTCCATCCCTAGGTTCTACTGAAAAGCTACAAAGATGAGGTGATGGATGACTTTTAAATACATTTTTGGTGGTGGGGTATATGCTGGTTTTATTATATTGAGGGAAGGGATAGGAATAGCTTTTATTTGGGGATTGGAGATTATTCTTAAAGCAATTATTTTTCCATTTTTAAAATAAATTTAAAGTCTACAACCTCTGGTAAGATTGCACGCTAAATTAAATATGCTTTCTGTAAATCTAAATCAATGCCCGGTTGCCTTTTAATACATGCTTTTTAATAAAGTACAGTTCCCAGATTTAGCATTGTGTTATTGTCTTGTTATTGTTTTAAGCCTCTGAGCGATTAAGAACAATTAGCTTTGCTAATATGGGAGAAATGTTGTCAAATTTTGGACATGAAGTACGAAATAAAAACCATAGGCTTCTTTTCCACTAGTATGTTGACTCATTATAGTAAAGGCAGAAGTAGGTCACTTGGGCCCACTATAATTTAAGGAAAATGAGCTTCTTTTTTTTTTAATGTCAATAAGACAGATTTTTTTTATTTCCAGGAGACAGTAGTAACTATTTTTTGATATCAAACTCAGTTGATAGAAAAATATAAAACTTTATACGTCAAACTCATTCAGTTAAAATAAACTTTTGCGGGCCACTTGCTAGAATTCAAAGCAACTATTTTTTTCCTTTATGTTTAGGCCTCAGTCATTTGTAAAATGTATAAATATGTAAAGACTAAAACATCTAGTGTTCCTTCTAACTTTTAATTTTATGATTTTTAGCTGCAAGGTAATGATAAAATGTACTGCTTTAAAAAGAAATTTTGGTCTCTCAAGAAGAGGTCTCTCAAGAAGTTAGTGTATATACATTTATTTCTTGCTGCATTGCTTTGTAGTCCAAAAAGTGCTAAATGACAATAGATACCAAGTATCTACACTTATTGAAACTGAAAATTATCTAGATATCTTTTTTTACACATTTTATGTATATATGGAATCTAGCACAGATATTTTTCAATTAGTATACCAATCAAGTTAGAAAATTTTCTAGCTGACGGAGAAATCAAAACATAAATCCATTTGATTGAAAAATACTAAGTACTAAAAATTTAGACCAGATTTAACAATCTCATCAACTAAAACAGAACTACGGCAGATAGGTACATGAATATCACTCTCTATAGTCCCAATACCAATGTATTACTGTGGCTCTCTGCTACTTTCAGGGCAGGGCTACATCAATGAGACAAATTATAATACATTAGCTCATTATATTCCTTAACTTTTACTTTCCTTTCCCTTTCTGTATGTGTGTGATGTGTGAGAAAGGGAGAGAGGCATGTAGTTAAGTTAGGGCTTTTGAATCATGCTTCTGACATTTATTACCTGGTCTGGTACTTTCACTAGAAGAAAGCTGGTGGTCTGTGAGGTGTGACAATTTGTCTTCTGACTCTGGCTGGTTACTTGGTGGATTAAAAACATTTCCAACTGACATGGTTGAAGTAGCAAGACTGCTAGACACAGAGCCAACTGGCAAAACAAGGTTACTAAAAGCAACATCTTTCATTGTCTCTGGAGTCATGGATATTGGAGGCTGTACCAGAGCTGTTTAAGAAAAAGAAGTGTCTTGTTAAAGGAATCTGTAATTCATCCAATTCAACAAACATTTTGAAAAAGAACCTGAAAGGTAAAAAAAAATATTACTAGTTGTGAAGGATGAAAAGCTGAAAAAAGACAGTCCCTGTCTCATTTATTAAATTTCAATTAAAATATTTACATTTACCACTAAGTGACTTGGTCAATATTTTAGATGGCTCTCACTGTACTGTTTTTCTATTCCTAGACTTCCTATATTTTCTCCTCACAAATATACTATAGGGAATATAGATCAACAACAGCAGATAGATTACTTTGTGCAGCCATTAGCCAAATTGATAAAATGAGCATGATAATAAATATTTATAGTACCTAATTCACTGGGCTGTTGAAATTCAAATGAGGTAATATATGTAAAGTGCTTTGGAAGTCTGGTATTATAAAAGAAAAATGATATAAATAACAAAATATAAACCAAAAACTGGTTAATGATAAGACTGTACAGCTAATGTATAAATATGTAAAATCTTTTGTCTTCTTAATGATTCCAAATACATTAATGCCCCACTTTTTCAAGTCAGACTTTTACTAGCCTCAGTCTCAATAATCTTAATATAGCTATGAAACCAAAATGGATGCAAAAGGTGTAACAAGGCACACACAATTTTTTCACAAAGACACATATCTATGAAAACAATGGTGTGTAAAATAAGGTAGATTAGACGCGACTTGCTGTCAGGGCTAAGTGACAGCTAACAGAAAAGGGTAGAAAAAGAATAATTACCAGCATAACTTCAATTGAACTGGAATATAATAGTATTTAGAATAGGGATAAATAGGCTTACACAACTGTAGTTCTTCAGGCATTCATGGTATAGTATCAAAAATAATTCTAAGTCATTTATAAAATGATAATGCAGTATATGCTGAGATTAAGAAAGCAAAAATTAAAAATTAAATAACAAAACAAAAAGAAAGCAGAAGTAAAATAAATAATTTTTAATAGCTTTTAAGGGGTAATATGTTAATTATCAGCAAAATTCATTTATATGGCATACCACATTCCCTGGTAAGATATGAATAAATAGATGTATAAGAATTTTAGTAGAGACTAAGATGAATCATAAATTAGAATTAATATTAACTAAATATTTGCCTAAACCATTTATAATTAGGGACTCTTTTCTGACTAGACATTTGTGAAACTAGATTAGAAAGTACAAGTAACATTCCTAGGCCTCGGTTTCTTTGCTTATAAAATGAAAAGGTTAAGAATTATTGGTTCCAGCTCTAGATATACTATCCAAAATAAATATGGTGCAAACCTAGTATTCTTTCTAATGTACTACACTGCCTCTCCAGTTCTCATGTGAAATAAAGATAAGGCTTAGTTTTACAAGTAAGCGGAAATTTCAAATATCACTTTTTAGCATAAAATAAAGCATATAAAAATAGTTGTTACTATTGGTTCAGTTGTATCCAACTCTTCACGACCCTGTGGACCATATCACTTCAGTACTGTCCATAGGGTTTCCTTGGCAAAGATACTGGCGTAGTCTGCCGTTGCCTTCTCCAAGGGATTAAGGCAAACAAAGGTTAAGTGATTTGCCCAGGGGTACAGAGCTATTAAGTGTCTGAGGCTGGATTTCAACTCAGGTCTTCCTGACTCCAAGCCCAGTACCCTATCCACTGAGACACCTAGCTACCTGACAATTAGAAAAACAGAAGAGCTGAGGCAAGGGTACCTTTCACTGTAACTCTTTAAGCAAATTTTAAATGACTACTTATACAGGTTATAAATTAGGTCTATAATTTGGGCAGTTAATTTTTTTTTTATCAAAACAGATGAACTTTGAGGTCTTTCCAATGCTAAGATTCTATAATTCTAATGCAGTGGTAGTACAAGAAGGAGCTTAATAGAGTTCCACAGAAAGACTACAAAAGTAAGGTAAAGGAGGAACTGGGAAAGAAATCTTAAGTTCAGGACTAAAAGTTTTAGTTTTATATCTCTCTCCTTTTCATGTCCTTGCACAAAGAAACATTATTTCAGAGAAAACCAGCACATATCTCAACATAAAACTAAAATCCAGTGTTAGAAAACACAAGTTCCATTAAAGAAATGAAAAGAAGTATGATGTAATGTAAAGAGTGCCTCACTAGAGTTCACTTGGATCCAATCTCAATTCTGTTTCTACCTGTATTTGCTTTGGGGCAAATTTCTTTATCTACGACATCAAGGGACTGGACGACATAATCTTTAACATCCTATTCTAGTTCTGTTATAGCCATAGCAATAATGAAAAAATTAGCAGAATTATCAAATGTCAAATGTGTATGCATGTTGAAGGTATAACTTAGACCTGTTTTTCCAGTAAGTTTTTTTTTTGTATCTTATATCAAATTTTTCAAGCAGAATTTCCTAATTATTGTTACTTGAATTACTGAAAACTTTCAAATAAAAACTAGGAAAAGTGAAGACTGAGAACATCTGCTGAGAAAACAGAACTATAATGTAAGTGTGAGAAAAATTAGGCATCGTAACCATATATGAATTTTGTGAAAAAGATGTAGATATTGTAACAAATGACTAAAAGAATTTAATAGTTTAATTTTCTTTATAAAATATCAAGACCCTAATAATAAGCAAGAGATAATGACACCAGCAAATTGGTTGTAGCATTCCTTCCAAAGACACTAAAAATCTAAAGAACCAGTTGATACAAGATTGCTATGATCAGAGTTTCATAATCAAAACAAATTTTAAAACTCACATGTTGCTACCACTGGAGGAATAGCGGGGGGTGGCACAACAGGTGGTGGAACTGGTGGTGGCATGAAACCTAGACAAAAACACAAAGAATAAAAAAGGAACCCAATTAATAATCTATTTTTAAAATTCCATAACCACATGTGGACAAAGTATTTCTAGACTAATTATTAACTTCTATATTCTAAAAATTATTATTACTCTATTAAAGAGAGCCCCTCACTTTCACCTGTTATCTCATTTGATAATCACAATACTTCTTGGAGGTAGGCTGGGTAAGTATTAGGCTATTTAATGTATGGAAACTATGAGCTTCTTGTAAGCAGGGACTTCTTTTGCTTTTCTATGTATCACCACTGCTTAGCACCCGTGCCAGTCTCATAGTAGGTACTTAATAAAGGCTTGGTAACCTGACACAGAATCACAGATCATTTTTTGAGCAGAGTCCAGAACCCAAATCACAAAGACTTACGCTCTTTAAACAGACTTCACTGCGGCATGTGTAAGTACATCAAAAATCTCACATGATTAAATTATTAATGTCATTATGTGACAATGTATACAGACATATATGGGATACATATACACACACCTGATGAATGTCATTTAAAAAAAAGAGTTCTCTATTCTTTAAAGAAAAAGAGAAGTAACTTCTACCACCTTCCTCCACCCCATAAACACTAGTTTTTTTCTTATCTGGTACAATATAACACTGAAAAGCTTTCTTCTTCCTCTCTTTACCTTTTCCAGCATGCACAGTAGTGTGCAAATGGAACACTAGAAAATGTAATCATGGCTATCCCTAAATCATTTAGCTTTCAAGACACTTTAGACTAGTATAGTTGTATGTTAAAATGGCCTTATTTTAAAATCATAGGAATGCTTAATTCAGGGAACTTTTGTTTTTAAAATTTAATTCACTTGTCATAGAAAAATACAATTAAACATTTAAGCAGTCAGAATAGAATACAAAGGAATATAAAACATACTAACATGTTTCAAAGTTTCTTTTTTTCTCTCCATAAAAATACAAGATCTTTTTTCTAGTTTATAACTAAACAGCATTTTTAAGGGCAGTGATAACATATTCTAATAGATGCAGCCTGACTAGAATTGGCTTCAGAATCAGGAAGGCCCAAGTTAAAGTTCTGCAACATTTTATGCAATGTTCTATGGCTAGAAATTGCAGAGAAGGTACAGATCTGCACTGGTAGAGTTTCTTTGCCCAGTAGCTCTTTATACAGTGAAGTCATAGATCAAGCCCCTATCACTGTATTTAGTGGTAAATCTGACTATGAATTTACAATGTTCATTAAAAAGTTCATTACAAAAAAACAATTTTAATAACACAGTGGAGTTAAAATAACAAGATTCCAGAAGAATTTCTTACCAGGAGGTGGTTGTGATGGATTGAAACTTGCTCGTAAGAAAGGAGGTGGCGGAATTGCACTAAATCCTGGAGGAGGAACGGACATTGACACTGGAAATGTTGGTGGAACTAAACTAACAGTAGGTACAGCTGGTGCTACTGGAATCTTTTGTGGACAGAAAAGAAAAAGACAAAATATTCACTTTTCAAATGTTTAGTGATAATATCTTTTAAAGAATACAAGTTTACTAGTCGCACATCTTGATTTTAAGAAAAATCACAATCACGTTTTATATTTCTGCTTCTAGCACTTCAAAGTTCCTTTCATCACTTTTTTGATCAGCTCTTCCTTTAATATCCCTCTTCATTTACTCCCATCTTCCTAGAAATTCACATTCAGATCATAACCATTGCATTTAAAACTGGCTGTTAGAGCAACTGTTTTAAATGATCCAAAGTGAAGTTAAAAACAAAGTAAATAACCAGAAAAGGAGAGGGGACAATGCAGCAAAGAGGAGCAGTGAACTTAAGCATTAATAAGTTCTGGATTCAAACCTGGTCTCTGATGCTTTTTAGCTCTGTGAGCAGGCCCAAGTCACTTAACCTGTCTTGGGCCTCAAGTGCCTCATCTGTAAAGTGGGGATATAATCTAAAGTACTTACTTTTCAGAGTTCCCTTTATGTTTGTCTTCTCCTAATAAAACACAAGCTCCTTCAGAGTAGGAACTATCTCACTATCTTGTCTTTGTATCTCCAGCACTTAGCACAATGCCTGGCGTGTAGCCGGTACTTAATAAATGTTTGTTGACTTGACTTGCCTCCTTTACCCACTTCCTGCTGCAGGGTAGGCACAATTGCTCCAAGTTCTGAAATCCTCCTAACAAAGCCACTAGCGTACTGAAAGCTTCATTTATTATTCTATTTCCAGTTATTAAGTATGTTAAACACTGTTTCCAAGAATGATGAGGGCAATGGAGAGTAGAATCTGAGACAGATTGAATCTAGGCCAGGAAATTGTCGAAGAGAAGTTCAGAGCTCAAAGATCAGGCTCTATTTCAGAGATTTACTTCACAAGATCAGACCTATAAGTAAAAACCAAAACCTCTGACTCTCAGCGAGGTCCTGCCATATGAAATGTACAAATGTTTAGATTGCAATTTTTTTTTGGTATTTTTCTGCCTCTTTCACCTCTAAATTAAAGAAAATTAACTAAATTAAAATTTCCCCTTCCTATAACATCATTTAACCTACTTCTCCATTTCCTACAACCTTTCTAGAAATGTAGACATATAGCATAATCTTAAAACAAACCCTGCAAATAGAATACAGGGAAGAAGCAGAGTCTTTCTACAATATAGATGTAGAGAGTATTTCTGTAGTATACTTTATAACCTAAAGTCATAACTTATCATTGTTTCCCTTTTTAACCACTTTTCTGTTTCACATCGGAACATAAGGCCTGGAAATTTACTCTCCAGTATACCTCTAGCCCAACTCTGTGATTACTGACATTTTCATTCAATTACACAGAAGGCAGAGGGCGCTGGAAAAGTATAAAGAACCACACAAACTAGAAGATCAACAACAGGAACCCTAGTCACCCTAAAAACAGTAAGCCTGCCGTTGGAGTGGTGACTACACCTTTTATTTCAAACACTTAAGCCAAGATCACAATAGATCATGTAAGAAAGCAAGCACTATAGAGTACAGTGTTGATTCTGTGGAAGTTATAATTATATTCATTCATACATGTTTGTATATGTTCATTCATTTACCTCTTACTTGAGGCTTTTTCCCTGATCCTCCTTGTTATTAGTACTCATTCCCTCTTAGAATCACTGCCTACACCTAATGTTTATTTGTATACAAATTGTCCTATTTCACACACCCTTATCCTAGTAAGCTCTCTGAGAGTATGATATGACCAGTTTTATTTTTATCTTTGGATGGCTGGCACTTTGTATAGTACACAGCAGATATTTAATGATTGTTGAATTAAATTTTATATGGTCTCTCTCTTCAAATATATATAGAAATATACATGAATGTACATATGTATATCAATCAGTCATCGAGAATTTAAAAAGTGCCTAATACATACCAGGCATTATGCGAGGCACTAGGGATATGAAGACAAGTCTAGACAGTAGAAGCCCATAAAGGGCTACATAGTAAATGTGTTCAAAATGTATACAAAGTAAATACAAAGTACTTAGGGGTATGGGGTAGACGAAGGTAGAAGGATCAATAAAGATGTCACAGAAAGTAGTGCTTCAGTTGATCTTTAAAAAAAATTAGGGATTCAAAGAGGTAAAGGTGAAAGTGCATTTCTCTGTGAATATCCAGGGCAAAGGCATGTAGGTGACAGATGGGAGTGCTGTGTGAGAGGGATCACAAGACTAATTTGTCTGGAACTTAGAGTGTGAAGGGGAATGATGTATAGGTTAGAGTGAGGTTGTGAAGGGTTTTAAATGCCACGTATTTGATTGTAGAGATAATGAGGAAGCACTGAAACTTCAGCAGCAATGTGACATAGGAAGCTGCAGTTCAAAATACTTGGGATATGTTTGGAGCTGTAAAGGATAGAGGATAGACTAGAGAGGGGAGAGACTTGAAGCAGGAAGATTAATCAGGCAAGGATGATGAGTACCTAAACTAGGGTAGTGGCTATATGAGAAGAAGAGAAAGAGTTGAATGATGCTGTGGAAGTGAAGACACTAAAGATGAATACATGAGTGAGTGAAAGGAGAGTGGTGCCCTTACCAGAACAGGGAATTTTATGAGTGAGTTTTGGGGATAAGATAATGAGCTCTAAGCAAAGATAACTTGTATTTTTAGACAAGTTGAATATCAGATGCTTATAAGACATCCAATCTGAAATGTCTAAGTAGATGGGGACAGGGGACAGGGATCGGACATACAGATTTAGGCTATCTGCAAGGCACAGTAGATACAGTTTCCTCATCTGCGAAACTGAAATAATAGCACCTGCTTCTTATGATTGTTATGAGGAACAAATGAGATAATACCTGTAAACTGCTTAGCACAGTGCAAGTTAATTGTTATTACTATTATTTTTTTTTTTTTGCTTTTTGGTGAGGTGATTGGGGTTAAGTGACTTGCCCAGGGTCACACAGTTAGAAAGTGTTAAGTGTTTGAGGCTGGATTTGAACTCAGGTCCTCCTGAATCCAAGGCCAGAGCTCTATTCACTGTGACACCTAGCTGCCCCAGTTGTTACTATTATTACTGTTAGTCAAATTGCATTGATAGAGGCAATTTCCTCATATGACAGCTCTCTAAACAAAATGAAATCATTGGGCCAGTCTCTATCCTTAAACTACTCCTATAATTGTCTGATTTGCTTAATTTACAGCTATTCATTATCTACTATTCTAGGTTACAAATAATTCTGGCTTTCATTCTTGAGCTTAAATATAGAAATAACAGGACATATTTAAAAGTTAATGACACATTCTCTAGAAAGAAATTTTTCAAAAGCTAAAACACATGACTAAGCTGAAATTTGGAGAAAATCATTTAGACTAGAGAATTCAGAAAAAGAAGTCTCATCGAAGTATTTTTTAATGTATTTGTTTTAAATTTATGTTTGTTTATTGCTTTAACTTTGGTTTATTAAGAATACAATAAACACATATAAGATTTACAACAATTTGCTCATCAATAACTAAATACATTTTATCCTCATCTGGAAAGTGTGATAAAATTATATTTATAAATACAATAAATTTATAATTTGTCTCCAAAATTTCTCACATAAGTTCTTTTCTTTCCACTATAAAAATGGTGATCCTACTCAAGTCTCTTCCTATTTCAGGGTATCAAATATTATTTGCATTTCTTTGTATTTCCCTCTCAGTGGTTCTTAGCATAGTAAGTATGCACTTACTAAATATGTGCTGACGGATTCACTCCAATTTATCCTCCACATAGCTGCCAAAATGATTTTTCTAAAGTGCAGGTCTGAATGTCAAACACTACCCTCCTGTCTACTCCATATTTATCTTCCATATACTTATTTGTATCTGTTTTGTTCCTCATTGCAATATAAGCTCCTTGAGAGCAGAGATTCTTTTAACCTTCTTGTTGTATTCCCAGACCATAACACAGGATCTGGCATATGCTAAATTCTTAAATCTTTTCTGTGCCATGGAAGTCTTCGAAGTCTAGTCAAGTCTATGCAACCCTTTTCTGAATAATGCTTTTATATTCATAAAATAAAAAAACCAGGGCTTACAAACGAAATAAATTCTTCTGAAATAAAGGTGTAACTGTTTCCCTATATAAGTTTGCAGAACCCCATAGGAGTCTATGAAACCCAGATTAAGAACTCATCTAGTTAATTTCCAATATATTTATTTTACTTTGCAAACAATGAAATAGCAATGTATTGCTCAGGTTACAAAGAACTTTCTAAACATAAAAGTATGGCAATAGAAATGTTCTGGTTTCCACATGATCACAATGAATAAAAATGCCTCAATTCGTGCTGTTTCAAAAGGAGAGAGATTTAAAAGACATACCATATTCTTAAAAGAATTAAATTTCAACTATCCTTACTGTTTACCAATCTTTATAATTCTCCAAGTAACAGTCGTAGGAAAACAAAACAAAACAAACCTTGATATCCAATCTTTTCTATTTATGGAATCATGGAACCAAATGATTTAGCAGCTTGAGGAAAGAAAAGGTAACCTTATTTTTATATAAATACTCTTAGTATACACATGTCACTTCCTTAATCATCTTTTATCCCATAATGTTATTTTCATTTTCTCATTCATTACAGAAAAACATGGCATTCATCTACTTCATTTTCAGTTCTTAAACATTAGGATTGTAGTATGTAGCAATATGCCAAAACTTCACTACAGAAAAATAATTCAGATATCCTGAGGAATCAATTATGAGATTTTATTTCTACAGCTCAGTTCAAATTATTATAAATTCTGAAACGGTACAAATTAATATGAACTTATACTTTCAAAATCACATTTTGGTCAATAACCTTACCCTCTTCTTTAACCAAATAAAAAAAAAATCAGTCAGTTGGACTGCTTCACCCTCTGGTCAAAAAGGAGAGATATAATTTACAATTGAAGATACAGAACAATAAAGAATTAACTGCAATATAATTTCAAAAACATCTATTCTAAAAAATAAAAACATTTCTAATTAAAGATGCTAAGTGCCTAAAATGCTTATTAACTGACTAAATACAAACCATTTTAGATAACCATCACCATACTAACCGGCAACATAGCAACAGGTGGAGGATAAACTTCAGCCTGAGTAGTCACCACTGGTGTCTTTTCAACTGTTGTTGGACTCTCTACAGTTTGGACAGGTTCTTTGACAGGTTCTGAACTCTTCACCGTTTCCCATTCTGAAAAAAAAAATTAACATTAATTTTATTAATCAAGTATACAGGTGACTTTAAAGCCTGTGCTTTGCATATTTAAGGCTGCTACAAATCTAACGGAATTCCTCTGTGCTTGTTAGACACTTCTAGAATGCAGCGTCTACTTTTGGATATTTTAAGGGGATAATGAAAAATAAAGTATATGCTGAAAGGAAATAATACTGTGTTGGTAGTAGAAATTACACTTTATAAAGCTATGTTCAAAGAAGATCTTTATCCTGGAAAATGACTGAGAAGAACATGATAGCTCTTAAAAAGTATCTCATGTGGAGGAAGGTTCTTCCTTATCCTTTGTTGCTTTGTGTGGCATAACTATGACCAATTGGTGTGAAAGTTACAGGAAAGGAGATGTAAGCTCACTGCAGGAAACAACTCTAACAACTAGAGTTATTCAACAATGGGCTAATCTATCATGTAAGGTTGTGAACTTCTTGTCAGTGGAGGTGATCAAGCAAGTTTCATGATCTTTGCTTTTGTGATTCCCTGCAAAAGAAGATTCCTACATGGGACAAAAAGTAGTACTTGATGACTTCTGATGACTCCAACTCTAAAATCCTATTAGTATCATAAAGGTAAATGAAAGCAATTCCTCAATTTATGCTGTTCCATACAGCATAAGACATTTGAGCTGAACACATACCAGATTCTGGTAAGAATTCGATTTCAACCCTTCTATTTTTGCCCAATTCGAAATTCTCCAAATAACAGTGCTGGGAAAACTTTTAAGCTTTGGTAGCTTGAAATTGCACTAAGCCTTTTAGACTACCCTATACATTATATCACAGCCAAGAAATGTAATTTTAAATGTGTCCTGCTCAATTTGCTTTCAGTTGTTAAGGCTATTTTGAACCAAAGTATTTAGAAGAATGCTTACCGCTATTTACAGTCTCCTGATCAATCATGCCTCCTTCAGCAAAGCCGTCTAGGTCATCCACCTTTACTTTCTCCCATGGTATATAAGTAACACCAAGATCTACATCCCAGAATTGTTTGTATTCCGTTTTGACACCTTTATTTAAAGCCCAAGCAATCTGACGGGGGGAAAAAACAACCTGTGTATTTATGTATGCTGCAAACATATCTAAAAAATTAAGTTCAAGGTTTCCAATATTAAAATGTATTCAAGTTGCCTAAATGGCAAATTACTATATGGTTTTGCATAATTTCCCCAATAAATGGCTTGAATAAAATCTGAATACAAGGTATAATCACCAGTATTTGTATTTCTCTTTTTTAATTTCAAAGAGAGCTCATTTATGGGGTATTATCTATTTCAGTACCATTATAAAAGTGCTTTAAAAATTGCTTCGGGGGCAGGTAGGCGGCACAGTGGATAGAGCATCACAGTTCAAATCCAGCCTCAGACACCTGACACTTGCTAGCCATGTGACCCTTTGCAAGTCACTTAACCCTGATTGCCTGACCCAAAGAAAAAAACATTTGCTTCAAAGGACAAAAGCTAAACTCTTACTTTCACTTCTTTATTTAATATTTTTCTTATGGCTTCTATTTTTTCTTTCCCTCATTTCATCCTTCTTTGAAGGAAATAACCTTTTCATCTATGGGCTAACAGTAATTAACATTTACTTGTTGATCTTCACTATGAAAATAATGCCCAAAATTTTTAAAAAGCAAGCCATGTTTTTTTTGTTAAATGCCAGTAAGGGATTAAAAAGAAGCAATATATCAAATTCCTTTCAAGACCACAAAAATGCCTTACCTTTATAACTTTGGATCCAATTTTGTAAGATCCAGAACTAAGTTTCTGAAGTGCCCGATAGGAATCCTGTCGATGAACCATACAGACATAGGCACAGCCTCTTGGAGGAATCATCTACAGGAAAAAAAACAAACAAAACAATCCAATCGTTATGCTAAATTACAAAAGGAGTTTGAGAGTGAAGGAGATGGAGAGTAGGAGAATCCTTCTCACAATCTACGACCATTAATATTACACATAACAATAAAATGGAGCACTTACTGATATTGACAGCCCCGGGAAATGTATAAAAAAATTGCCATTTCTTAAGCTAAGATACCCCTAGGATAAGCCTCTACATATTATCACTTTATTTTAAAGAAACATAAATTGTTGCATTTTTTAAACTCATTTTTTAAAAATGTGTTAAGTAATTTGGGAACTCTGGCAAATCCCTTATTAGTTTATCTATCGATAGTACCAACAAATAAATCAGAATTACTACTATTCTATTCTATTGTTTTCCTAGAAGATTTATAATTTTCGAAATGTTTCTGATGTATTTTGTGTTGCATGTAGGATTAGGATACAAATTTCAGATCCTGAAAAAGTATTAAAAAGTATCTTCAAGCACTGCATGTACTGTATCCTCTTATATTAGCAGATGAGCTTTAATATGGTGACTTACAAAACTGAAAAGGCACTTTATTTTTTCTCAAAATAACTGAAAAAAAAACCCCCACTAGATACTTCCTTTCATTTCCCACTCCCCCAAAAACAAATTGCTGAACTTTAAGAAATGAACAAAAAGACAAGCAAAAAACAAAACAAACAAAAAACAATTTCCCCAAAATCTCTTTATAGAAAATAACTAAGTTCATTTAACAGTATAAAGGGTACTATATTCAAAGATTCATATGGACTAGTCTGTGATTTCATTGATGTGAATATTCCCTCCAATAATGCAGATGGTAAGCCATCCATGCCTGTCCATCATGTGTAACCCCTTGAATTTACTACAGGGTTCTACTCAACATGCTGAAGGCCTTCCTCACATTTTCTTGACAATGCAAAGATAACAGTGAGGCACAAGGGCTATCTATCCCATTTTCTTTCCTTATGACCAGGCCATCTTCTTTTTTTAATCACACATTTTTTTGATGACATTGTGCTTGCTTTTGCCTGCTGGTTCTAAAAAAGCATCTGAGTCATTAGAGCTAAATATTGCTTTAGAAGCTTTCCTCTAAGAAGATGTCTCTTGCTATATATCCTAAAATTATAAAAATTATTTTAAATATAGAACAGAGAGATTTCTAGATGATGCTCTGATATTGAATAATAGGTAAGGTAAAAATAGGGAAAGACAAGCTTGCGAAAGGTGTTCACCAACAAAATCAAGGAGGATGCAGCACAGAATCCCAGTTCAAGAAGGATTTTTTAATAGATGGGAATGTCTTGAAGCTGCTCCTGTTTGTGGGTGACTTCATGCTGGTGCATCAAGGTCTACACCACTGCTGACAATCCTAGACAAGATCCATAAATGCAGAACCTATATTATCCATCAGTATTTGGACAGACACTACAATGGATGATGACTTGGGTCTAAAATTAGAACAGGAAGAGGATAGTAGGCTAGAAAGCCTCTCAGTAACTGCAAAGTTCTTTTAACCTCACATTTATTCCTGAAACAATACCAATCTTTTTAATGCCAATATTCTACTTGGTGCTTTTCTGTGGCTGCAAATCATTAAATATGTACTATACCTTACCAAAATCTTCATAAAGGAGAACTACTAAAGGAATAAGAAATTACAAGCATCTATCATACAATAATTCCCATTTCATAGTTTCACATTTTGTAAAATTCATTTTTGGAGACCCTATTTTTAAAGAGATTATGATCAAGATCCAAGTTGTCATGTATACTTAAGATATGGCTTTAAGAAAGACAAAAAAAGATGGATTATCTTAGTACTTAGATAACTACAGGTATAATTCAATCGTTAATTGTTAAATGTCAACTTTTCATAATAGAATTAGGGGAACTGTTCAATAATACCAATTTGCTAATTCTCAAAGTAAAAATAAAGAATATGGGATGTATAATGGAAGATAAAATTGTGGAAAATTCCCCTAATTTTGGAAATTGGTGAACATAAAAATTCAGACAACGGAAACCATAAAATAATTTAAGATATATAATTTAAACAGAAAAAAATGTCTCAAACCTTCTTTTTCCACATAATTATCAACCCCTATATTTTTTTAATATAGAAATATTTCATATAACAATAGAAGAAAACGTAATCTAAACTTTTAAACAATCATCCCAACTTACTGAATTCTAAGAAAGAAACAATATGGTATCTTTTGCAGTCAGATAACTACCACATTATAATTTATTTCACAGTATTCTAGTCTTAGGCTCATGGAATTCTGGAGTTAGAAGGGACCTTAACAATTAGCTAATTCAACTCCCTCATTACACCAAAAGGGAAAATGAAGCCCAGAGAGGTTGACTTGCCCAGAGTAACACAGCAAGAATTCAAATTCAGGTCTTGTGATTTTAAATAATGTTCTTTCTACTATCACTGAAAAAATAACCATATGACTACCCTAAAGTAATAATTCTCATAATATACATATATATACACGTACACACAGCATAGTCTTGAATTTTTAAAAACTGTTTTTTAACTCTTAAGCTATAGCTATCAACCAGATTGCTTAAAAAAAGGAATAGATTTCTTACAATCATAGTAATCCACTGTTAATGGAACAATGAATTAGTTCAAACGTGCTGGAAAATGATTTGGCATAATTTAAGAAAAGTTACTAAGTTGTTCATACCCTTTGATGTAGAGTCTACTATTACTGATATTTTCCAAGGAGATTATTGATGACAAGCCTGATAGGTATAAAAATAATCACTGAAGCATTATTTGTGAAATCAAAAAAACTGGAAATGAAATAATTGCCAAACGATAGCGGAATGGCCAAACTATAGCATATGAAATGGACTATTAGTGCGTTGTAAGGAATAAACACAAATTTAGAGAAATATGGCAAGATTTGCATGAAGTAACGCTGAACAACAACAAAAAAAAAGCAGAGTCAAAAGAACATTCTTATTATGACAAGGTAGATAAAATCAACACTGATAGGCAACAGAAATGGTTATATATTTCAAATATAATGATGAATGGTAGTACTGTACATTCCACCTTTCTATTAACCAATAAACTAACTTTTCATGAAATGTTCTTTGTAAAAGGATTTCTTTGCATGCCTGTAAGGAATTATCTTTTGCATCAATAAAAAATATTTTTAAAGAAAAAGTGGTATACTTCACTTAAGAAAATAAATCAAATTGGCTGCACACAAAAAAGCAAAAACTACTTCCATTTTTAATTAACCTGTTTTTAACCTAAAAATTTACATTTTGGTGACTGAGAAATCCAAAAGTATATAAAATTACATACTTTAATAGAAAGTTCAGAAAAATTAATTGCAATATTAAAATATCTAGACAGTTCCCATATATCTTCAGAGTACATTCTTAGAATAAGTGAACAGGGATAAGGACCCGTGAAATCATTGGTATAGAGAACTCCCAGAAAAGGAAATTCCTTTTACCAATGCAAGTAAACATCTTATTTGCAACTCATAGTCTGAATAGAGTTGCCTATTGAGAGGTTAAGAGACTTGTCCAGAATAAAAAATTCAACATGAGTCAGAGGTGGAACTTGAACCCAAGTCTTCCCAGCTCTGAGGTAAGGCCACCTCTCTATTCGTTAAGTCATGCTGCCTGCCCTAGCAACTACTCATAAAATTGATCTCTTTTCACTTCTTAATAGGATAACTATAACTGTTTATACTGCTGACCAAGTAATTTGTAACAAAAGAATCAGATTATGATTCAACAACGTGTTGAGTTCAACATTCTACTGAAATAAAGATAAAAGAACTATCCTTTAAAATAAAGATGGAACAATTATTCTCCAAATACCATTAAATGAGAACAAATATATGGTAAATCACAACATAAAAGAATTCTCAATGTACTATTGAAACATATATAGTATATACCTAATTCCAATAAACATTGTAAATTGAACAATAATTATGTCTGCCTAATTAGAATATCGAAGGAAGAGATGGATATCCCTAATCTCTACAAAAATCTATCCAAAGACAGCAGTATCTACAAAAGCGGTTCAAAGATTCTCATAGCAACATTATAAATAATTACAAAAACAATGATCGGAAGCAACCTAAAAGTCCAACAAGAGTGGAATTATTAAATAAATTGTGAGACAAGAATGTAATGAACACTACAAAGATATTAAGATGGACAAATGAGGAAAATAGTGAAAGGAAAGCCCTTCCTGTAATAATGCAAAGCAAAAAAAAAAAAAAAAGGATAACCAGAAAAATGGAATACATGCTACCATCACAGGAAGAAAAAGTAAATGAGAAAAAAATGGATAAAAAAATGAAGACCAAAAAGAATAAAATGAAAAAGTGCTTTATGTATAGAAATTAATTTAAATTGCAAATTAAGCAAATTTTGTTCTCTGTATCAATGGTTAAATGTTAAATTTCTAATAAAATAATTTTTAAAACTATCCAAGGAAATTTAATCCGATAGCTTATTTTTATTTATCAAATTTCACTCTATCAAACAGTAAAGAACTTTCAGAATTATTCTTACTCCTATCAAAGTTTCCTTAAATTAGCCTCAGGTGCTCAATAAGGGTCAGCTGGTAATGGTGGTATGTCTGTCACTTATAAAAGTACTTTTGAAAAAGCTGGTTCAACATTATTCCTCTTCTATTTCTACAACCTCTTCACTTTATGCAAATCATCTAGTTATAGCTGCTTAATATATGACTAAATAAAAGCTAACAAATGACAGTTAACAAATGCTACTAAGTTTTTACTTTGTCTACAACAAGAACTGTAGTGGTTCATAATTACTAGAATGCCATTAAAATACTTAAAAGGACCTTCAAAATATCTATCACAGAATTGCTAGGATATTAACTCAGTTACAATGCCATTCATGTTATTAGGCACAGGTTGAAATGAAAGCTGAAAAATGGAGTGTTAAATAAGCCAATACCAATACAAAATGGGAAAGGTTGGGGCAGCCTGCCTTTTTAAAAAATCTTTATCAGTCTGAATATTTAGTTATGATTTGAAAATTAATACTTACATTGATAGATTCAATCTGTCCAAATTCTTCAAAAAGATTGGTTAAATCTTGCTGTGTAGCTTTCTTATCTACTTGACCAACCCAGAGAGTAGTACTACAGACTGTGAAAAGAAAATTAAAAAAAACAGCTTAAACTTTTTGAGTATAATTTTTATTTTTCAGTCATTTATGGGAATGAGCTATGATTTTACTAGCACAGAGATCTTGCTAAGAACTCTGCTAGTTCAATGGGCTATAGATATTCCTACCTATAAGCCCAACAACACTCCATTCACAACACCAATGGCTTTTAAGAAGTTCATATAACTTTATAAAGGGTACACATAGCAGAAAAATGCAAAAAATTTTAAAATTTCCAGTTATTTTTTGCACATGTGACTCATTTGAAACCCAGGAATTTGAGCATGTGTCCCAAGCAAATTTGTTACTATACACAATCTTTATCTGCTACATTTTACCTAAGAGCAACATAACCTCTTTTTCTTAATTTGGGCAAAAGTTCAAAATTCAATTATAAATTAAATGCAACTTTGTTCAGGTAAAGAAGAGGTGCTGACTTTTGGAACAAAGGGTGAGCCTCTAAGTCAGGGAGATTCGGGTTCATGACTTATTTCTAATACCCACTAACTCTGAGGATGAAACCTCTCAGTGCCTTGGGCAACTCAATAAGACTCCAAATTACAGAACAGTTGCTTTCTGCACTTGGTAGAGTAATTGAGATTCTTCCATGGAAATTTCTCATACCAATAAAATTACATTTCTGGTAAAAACAATGACAAAAAAATCCTTCCAAACATTTACTAGTGGATAAACCACACAAGATGGCAAATTCATTGTTAATGTTAAGGATGTGAACTTCTGTGTAAATTTGTTTTAATGTTCCAACTGCTCTATGACTTTAATGCTATGGGTATTCCCTCCAATGTGTATCACAAACAATCTATGCCTGGCCATTCTGTGATTCTTATCAATGATTTCCCATGTGTTTTCCACAGGGGCCCTACCCAACATGCTTTGGTGTTTTGAATTGTCTTGATAACATGTGGCAGATAACAATCAAGTATACATACTGCCCAATAAATCAATAAACAAATCTTTTAAGTGCCAGCTTTAGGACAGGCAGTAGAGATACATGTAAAAAAAGAAACTTTAAATGTTAGTTGTAACACATTGTTGAGTATTCTGTTCTGGCCATCACATTTCACAATAGTCACTGACAAGATGGAGTTAGGGACTCAAAACCCCATTACATGAAGACTGGATGAAGGAAGTAGGAAGTCTGAAGCAGAGAAAAGAGGACTTAAGAAGGTATTTAAAAGGTATCTTCAAATACATCTGCAGTATCTTGGAGAGTAAGAAATGGACTTTTTAAAGGACCATGAAGGGCAGGTAGGTGGCGCAGTGGATAGAGCACCGGCCCTGAAGTCAGAAGGACCTGAGTTCAAATTGAGCCTTAGACCAAACACTTGACACGTACTAGCTGTGTGACCCTGGGCAAGTCACTTAACTCCAATTGCCTAAAAAATAAAAAAATAAAAAATAACATACAATAAAATGGACCATGAGGAAAATCCATAGCAGGAAGTTAGAGAGAAGCCTGTTCTAGTTCAACATAAGGAAAATTTATCAAACACCTCAAGTTGAAAAAAAAAAAAATCAAATGAAATGCTTTCGGATGGTAGTGAATTTGCTGTTACTGAATGACCACTTGGTGGGATGATGAATATGGAATTCATTAGATGACCTCTGGGGTCCTTTACAACCCTGAAATTATATGACTACTACCTTCCACAATGCCTAATATAGTACATTTTCAATTCATCAGTAAATCAACAAGCATTTAAGCACTTACTACTTGTTAGTCATATGCTAACTGCAGAGTATATAAAGACGTAAGTGCAAGTCCCTTCCCTCAAAGAGCTCAAAATGTACTGTATCATCCAATATTGAAGTATTAGATAATATTTGTTGACTACACCAACAATTTAAACAACAAATTTATTTAGCAAATCTTTCTTTCACTTTTTTTGGGGGGGGGGAGGGGGGAGGGTTCAGGCAATGGGGTTAAGTGACTTGCCTAGGGTCACACAGCTAGTGTCAAAGTGTCTGATGCCAGATTTAAATTCAGGTCTTCCTGACTCCAGGGCAGGTGCTCTATTCACTGGACCACCCAGCTGCCCGTCTTTCACTGTTTTTGAAAATACTCATTTTTACTGTTTAACAATCTGCATTACTTCAAAATGTAATTTTTAAAGCATTTTATATGTACAATACAAAAATTTTATGTGACCACCTAAAACAGGTTTAGGTTAGGGCTCTTGGGAGGAAAGAACAATTAGAAAATATATATTCATCAGGTTTCAATTTCCAAGGTTAATGACATCTTGTATGCATTAAATATCTCTTTAATCATAGGAGTTTATACACTGGTTCTAAAGAAAAAGATTTATAATCTAACTTATGGTTTACCTTACACATAAGCTAACTTGAATAAAGGCCATTTCATTATAACAATGTGGGCCATGTATTGCTAAATGATAAAACGTGAACCATAAAAACTTTAAACTGGTCTTTACAGGACTGAGACTATAAACTTGAAGAATATACTATGTATCCGTGGGTAGGGCCAAATGAACATGCTAACAGAACTGAAGTATGCAGATCTAAAATCCCCAAGTTATTGGAGGTTTACAACTGATAGGATGGCCAACTAAGGAAAACAAGAAACCTCACCTCAGCTGAAATTCAGCAGAGAATGAAGTAGGGAGGCTTACTGGCTTTACTGGCTATCATATTAAGTAAACAGGGGAAACTAACAGATTCATTATCATTCTACACAATGACTAGAAAGTTGGGCACTCAAAAATCCCTTAACCTCCAGTTCACGATATAGCTATCTAGCCAGAGGTGAATTTCAATACTCCTTCAATATCCCTCCACCCATCCCTCCTTTATCTACTGCCCATAGCTGGGAATGGTAAAAATCTCTCTTTATCAAAGGGACAGAGAGCAACAGCTCATAAATTTAGAAATGAAAGGATGTTATAAACCATCTAGTCGAACAGCTGAGGAAACTGAGGCCCAGAGAAATGAAGGGACTTGCCCAAGGTCCAACAGATAGTGAATGGCAGATCCTAAAAACCCAGATCCTCTGACTCCACATCTAATGTTCCCCGCCCCCACCCCCACTGAACCATGTAAGAGTATTGAGTTCTAGTACAACATACAAAAAAGGGAAAGATGGTAATTAATATTGAAACCTAGAAGTAAGGTGGGGTGGGAGTGTGTCCAAAAGCCAAATTTTTCCCATCCTGCACTACTGGAATAAGACAACCAAAAGGAAAATGAATCTGACCTCCAAAAATTGAAATAGAAAGATCCTGGGGCCAAAAACTCTTTAAAATGTTTTCAAACCTTGTTTAAACGACACATATAACTTTTTTCCCCTTTTTATTCCAGAAGAGACTAAGCAGGGTAACATAAACTTGATGCCCTTGTTTTAAAAGGAGGGCTAATGGATAGGTTGAATGCTTTGCCCTTATTGAACACTGTCAATTCCTGAAGGGTCTGTCTCTTAACTAAAATTTATACTGCCTCTAGCATAAGAACCTTAATATTTTTTACTTCATGCGTGCAATCATGATTTTTGACCTGCTACATAAATGCTAACTATTCTATTATTTAGTTATCAATACAGGTATAGTTTGTGTTGTCTTTCTATAAGAGACATATACTTCTATCTTAGTAGTTTCCCATAAGATCAAAAAATAATGTAATTTCATTAGCAAAAAGCAGTGCCCTTTAACCAAGGCTAGTAGGGCACTGCACCTTAAGTCTGAAGTGAAAGAAATCAAATTCAAATTTGAAACTGGGCTACACTATGATACACAGGTATCATAGTATGTGTAGTATGGTTATATTTGTGAAGAAGGAAAATTTTCTTTAATAAAAGACCACTTTTGAGAAAAGAAATGGGAGTTGAAAGTATACGTTAAAATTCTTGCTGACTAGATACAATGTTACTGTGTCATGACTTATAACTGTTTTCTAAATTGCATTTATCAATTTTAATAGAAACTATGCAGCACTAAGAAATCAGTTGCAATGGCCAGAGATGTTAGAAAGCCATATTTATTTATTTAATCCTAATGACTTGGGAAGTAAAATAAGTTGTTGTAGGAGACTGCTTACTACTTTCTCTTTTTCTACTACACTTATTTCTATACTTTTCTTTCCACAAAGTATCATTCAAATGAATACTCAGTAAGAGGATTCACAGTGCAAAAGAACTTCTCTAGTTTTCCCTAAAGGTAAAGGATCTAGGAATATGAGTAGATGATACTTACCACTTAATGTTTTAGATCGGATTGGAGGCAATCCTTTTTTCTGTCTTTCTTTCTCCCTTTCCCTAGCTCTTCTTTCACTAGAGTAGGAACGGGAAGATTTTCTTTTTCTTTCTCTTGACCGTGAGCGAGATCGCTTTCTGTGTTTCCGCTTTCGAGAACCAGATCGTGACCTAGACCTTCGTTTTCTTGGTGACCTATTAAAAAATACACACATATAATATGTTTTCGAATACCTTATAAACAAGTTCTATTTGAAGGGGCTCACATTTCAAGAGAAAGGGGCAGTCAGACTACCACTACTGCCTTGGTCCTTGTACTTTTTCTATTATAGATGAGTCTCAAAAGATCATTATGAAATTTATATGTCAAAATTCATAATTTCTTCTATCTTTGCTCAGCCAGTTTGTACACCCACAGACCTCAAAGATGTGTTTCATGAGGCGAGGAGGGTGGGGGGGAAGTGAAACATGCTAAGGAAGCTCTTCACCTTTTTTTGTGTCTCTTCCACTACAGCTTTCCTAGTAAAACAACACTGTTGGCTTGGAGGACAGTAAAGCAGGAACAATGATAAAGATATCATTGTGTGTGGCAACTGTTAGGACACTGGATTAGGGGTCAGAGGATGTGAGTTTGAAGTTCATCACTGTTTATCCATAAAATCAGCACAGTGGACTAAAGGACTGGTAAAATTCATTCTGGCTCAAAATTCTCTGAATCTAATGGACCAATACTGTTTCTCTGCGACCTAAAATGAGATCTCATTACCACAAAAAGTACCGGTGGATGATTTATCTTCTAAATTTTTAAGCTTGCAAGGCAAATGTAGTTCTAATGGCTAAATATTACTACTTCACAAATAGTCCAGTTGTTTTTCAGTTGTGTATGGCTTGCCATTTCCTTCTCCTAAAACTCATTTTATAGAGGAGGAAACTGAAGCAAACAGGGTTAAGTGATTTTCCCAGGGTCACACAGCTATTAAGGCCAGATGTGAACTCAGAAAAATGAGTCTTCCTGACTCCAGGTTCAGCACTTTATCAACTGTGCCACCTACCTGCCCTCATAAATAATTCCTTATATCCCCTACTGGTCACAGCTAACTTAGTATAATTATGCAAAATCAGGTAAAATCCCAAGTCACACAATGCTTTGTGACATGATATAATCAGTAGGCTTCATGAAAGTACTTTGTGAGTAGGAGAAAACATTATACAAGTCAGTTTCAAAGTTCTGCATAACTGCATCATTTCACTGAATTCTAAAAGAACTGCAAATTGAAGAAAAGGATGTTATTATGTCAAGAACAGTAACATCCTTACACCTGGGGTAAAAGTACAAAGACTACACTTAAAGCACAAACGTGCACTTCAAAAGATGAAAGATTAAAAAACCTTGAACGAGATCTTGAATGTGTTCTTGATCTAGAGCGAACAGGCACTTTCTTTTCTTCTTGCTCAAAGATCTCTTCCTCAGCAACATCTTGCCCTTCATCTAACTCCATGTCCTTGACACAGAAAAGAACAAAAGAATCAGCAAAAGAAAACATCCTGACAACATTCAAAGCAAATTTTATACCAAAGATAACAGCCTTAAGAAGTACTTATTACAGCATTTCAACACTCACTGTTTTTAGTTACATTTAAAAGTATACTATAAAAGTGGCAGCATTTTTTAATCTGTAACTTATAATAGAAATCCTAGATCTATAAATGAAGTTCTACCTGTTGCTGAATATCTATAGAATCATCCAAGTTTGTCTCAGGTTCAAGGAACTGCTGTTGGCTACTTCCCTGTGACGGTGACGCAGAGTGCTCTGAACCAAACGTACTTTCTGGATTCTCTTGAGTGGTTACCTACGGAAAATAGTGCACATTGGAAAATGTCATCATATTCCAATTTGACATATGAACATAATTTCACATGTATTCCAGTGTACCTAATGCCATAAAAGAGATTAAATAGGAAGGAAACAAACATTTTTAAAATGCCTCTTATGTGCCAGACACTGTGCTAAGCTCATTACAAATATCTTATTAGATCCTCCCAACAATGTGGGAGGTAGGTATCCCCATTTTACAAGTGAGAAAACAGAGGTAGACAAAAGTGAAATGACTTGCCCAGGGTCACATAGCTAGTAAGTGTCAGATGCTGGACGCGAACTTAGGTCTGTCTGACCCTGACTCTAGACCCAATGTTTGTTTTTTTTGGGGGGTGGGGGTGGGGTTTGGGGGGAGGGCAGCAGAGGGAGGAACCAGAGTGAAAGCGATCTATGGAGTTATATTCTGTCCATAAAATCACTGACAAGTCAGCAATCAACATATGTAACCTCCAATGATGGGAAGCCAATATTTCCCAAGGGAGCACAAAGCTCTTTTGAATAGCTCTAATTGTTGGGAAGTTTACAATAGATCTGAAACTAGCCTCTATAATTTCCACTTCACTGCTCCTAGTTCTGCCCTTCGGAGCACTTCAGCATAAATCTAATCCCACCATACTTTGTATAGGTACTTAACAGATGTTTAATAAATGCATGTTGACTGATTCCACATGAGAGTAGTTATCCAAACACTTAAAGACTGCAATCAAGTACCCTGAAGTCTTCTCTTGCTCAAGTTAAATCTCCCTATGTACAGTAATCAGAACAATCTAGCAAGCATTTATTAAGGGTCTACTAAGTGCCAGGTGCTATGCTTGGCACTAGGGATAAATGGACAAAAGCCAAACAGTATTTGCCTTCAATGAATTTAATTCTAATAGATGAAACAATATGCACATATAAAGTATACACAAAACTGACACAAGGTAATCTTGAAGAAAGGTAGAAGTGGTGAGATCAGGAGTGTACTGGAGCCGGCTTACACAGGCACATAAGGGTTGATTATTAAAGTTTCAATGTGATCATTTATACCTCTGAAATAGACGAATTCTACAAATCAGGAATTGGTTGTTTTACTGATTGTCTAAACTTAAGAAAATTATGGAGAAAAATGTGTAATAATACAGATTAAATTTATAAAGTGTATTGTGTGTTTGGGGAAAACTAGTTCTTAAACATTTACCAGTACATCCCTGGATGAAACACTGGCACCTGAAATTGAAGCAAAAGAGTTTCTGAGATCTAAGAAGAGAAAGGTCATCACTAACTGGGCTGATAAAGGAGGGTTCCTAAAGGAGGTAACATTTTTAGTTGAGTTTTGAAGAGGTAAGTAGAAATTCCTTATGTATTCCAGACATAATAAATGATGTGCACAGAAGCAGGTAACTATCTGTAGGTGGCTGTGAATGTATGTATGTGAGGGTGGAAGGCAGGATGATCATAAATTTAAAAGCTAGAAGGAACCTCAGAGATCATCCAGTCCAGTGATATCAAACTCAAACAGAAATGGCAGCCACCAATCACATTGACTTGAGTTTTAAATGTAATAGTATCCATGTTCTATTGTTTTAACTATTTCCCAATAACAATTTAATCTGGTTCAGGTAGAACTCTGGAGTGTTGCAGTCCTTGTGTATGATACTTCCTGTGTAGTCTAAACTATACCCCCCATTTTCAGAGAAGGAAAATGAGCCTCAGAGAGTTTCAGTGCCCAAGGTCATACAGATGTTGTTGTCAAACTCTGTACTCAAAGAGGCCCAATAACATCACTATGTCAGGGTCAAGGTACAGTGTGTTTGATTATGGCTCATCAGTCCAACATGAGCTTGGAAGGTTCTACTGTAGGTTGGGCACAAGTAGTCTGTTTGAACATTTGGGATAGAGATGTCTCTAGATTTGTCCATTTCATGTTTCCTTTGAGCTACTGCAATTTTGCTTTGCTCACAGAGCACAGCACCTTCTTTGATATAATTATGCCATGATGGAAGATCCTCCAGTGTCTCCCATGTCTCACCATCAATTAAAGTTCTTCTGCGAAAACCTGAGTGTTCTTGTATTGCTCCTTCTGAATTTTGTGTGGGTTCTCCATGAGATAGAGTTTTAGGCACACAGATTTCCAAAGTGGGCGATACTGCCCCCCCGGGGGGGTGCTGGAACAATGGGGTAGGGAAGGTAGTAGCCCTGAGTGCAACTGGGGGGTGTTGAATAAAAATAAGAGTTAACCTAATCTAACCCCAGGGGGGGTGCTGAGTAATTTTTTTTTTTTAAAGAGGGCAGTAGGCCAAATAAGTTTGGGAACCTCTGTTTTAGGCAAACATACAGTTGACGTTTGAACAAAGTGACCAGCCCATCAAAGGTGTACTCTCTGTAGTAGAGTCTGAATGCCTGGCAGTTCAGCTCAAAAGAAGACCTCAATGTCTGGTACCTTATCGTGTCAGGTAATCTTCAGAATATTCCTAAGACAATTCAAATGGAAGTAGTTCAATTTTCTGACATGGCACAGGTATCCTGTCCAGTTTTCACAGACATACAACAATGAAGTCAACACAATGGCTCCATAGACCTTCAATTGGGTAGGCAGTCTAATACTTCTTCTCTCCCATACTTTCTTTCAGAGCCTCCAAACATTAAGCATGCTCTGGCAATGAGTGTATCACCTTTATCATCTTTGTGTACATCCCTGGAAAGGATGCTACCAAGGTAAATGAACTTATCCACAGTATTCAAAATTTCTCCATTTGCTATAACTAGTGGATCCACATATGGATGGTACAGTGTTGGCTGATGGAGAACCCGTTTTCTTGATGTTGACTGTCAGGCCAAAATTAATACAAGTGGCAGAGAACTGATCCAAACTCTGATCATACATCTCAGCCCTAGAGGCTGCATTGAGTGCATAATCATCTGCACCAACAAAAGTCATGTACCTACTCTCCCTTCACTTTAGTCCTGGCCTGTGGCCTTTTCAAATTAAATAGTGTATCATCAGTCTGATAGTTGACGTTGATGCCATTTTAGTCCTTTCTGAAGGCATCTGATGACATCATGGAAAACATCATGCTAAAAATCATAACAAGGACACAGACCTACTTTGCTCCATTGGTGACTGGAAAAGAGTGACAGCATCATCCTTTATCCAGAACCTATGTAAGCATGCCGTTCATGTAACTGGTAAACAAAACTGATGAACTTCTTTGGGCAACCAGATTTTGCCATGATCTCCCACAAGTCCCCATGACTGACAGCATCAAAGGCCTTGGCGAGGTTGGTGAATGTTGCATACAGACCTCTGTTCTGCTCCTGGCATTTCTCCTACAGTTGTTGGGCAGCCAGCACCATGTCAACCATCCCTCAGCCCTTTCTGAAGTCATACTGGCTCTTGGGTAGAGACCATCTTACAAGTAAAGATCAGCAAATTAAGGAGGATTCTGGAAAGAATCTTGCCAGCAATGACTAAGAGAGAGATTCCACCTTTCCCCTCCTACCCCACCACCCCTGGTGATTGTCACAGGAAAACCTGTGAACTTTTCCTTTCTAGAGATGGACAATGGAGGTATTCTTATCTCCTGGGGGATAACTTCCTTTTGTCATATAACCTGGAAGATTTCAGACAGCTTCTATAAGAGCAGTGGACCCCCTGCCTTGTAGATATCTGCTGGAATGGAATCAGCACCAGGTGCTTTGCCAAATGAAAAGAACCCAATGGTATTCAATACCTCTTCTTTAGTTGGAAGCTAAGCTAGAGAGGGACTGACTTCAACCTGGGTGATATAGTCAATGGCTTCAGTACTGGTTGATTACAGTCTGTTAAGAACACCATGGAAGTGTTCAGCCCATCTTTTCAGGATCAAATCCTTATCATGGATCAGGGCAGTTTCATCAGTGCTGAATAGCAGAGATGCACCAAAGGTCTTTGGCCCATAAAGAGTCTTAAGTGCACTATAGAAGTGCTTTAGATTACTGTTATCAGTGTAAAACTGAATCTCACCGGTTTTCTTACTGAGTCAAGAATCCTGAAACTCTCTAAGCTTCACTTGTACTTTACTCTTGATGAGTTAAATGCTGCCTTCTTAGAGACATATGAACTGTCCTGCTGGTATGCCCTCTGCAGTTCTCCTTTTTCATTTGGTAGCTTCTGAATTTCATGCCATCATTTTCATCAAACCAATTCTGATGTTTGTGAGTGCACTGGCCCAGATCAACCAATGCAGTGCTGTATCCAAATCTCTGAAAGCTGCCCACTCCTTTTCTGCTCTAATGTTGATGTGTGTTTACTCAGTTTTCCCTCCAGGTCAGCAAAAAACTGTTCATGCAGGGTGAATCCCTCTAATCTGTTGACGTAGAGTCTCTTGATAGTCATCTTGCCTTGGGGTAACTGCTTTTGTTGAATGTGAATGTTTTGCTTGGACAGGATAAGTCTATGATCAGTCTAGCATGCTGTGCTACACATCTTCATCTCTCTCACATCCTGTCTCTTTTTCCTTACAATGACATAGACTATTAAATGCCAGTGCTTGTTGTGAGGACCCATCCATGACACTTTGTTGAGTTTAGGGAAACAGACAACAGTGTTGGTGATGATGTCATGAGATGCACAAGTCTTCAGCAGTAAGTGTCCACTGCTTTGCTATTAACAATTACATTTCTTCCAAGATTTTACTGCTGTGTCTACTAGTCTGTGCCTACTCTGATATTAAAGTCAACCAAAATTAGAAGCTTGTTCTCTTTCAGCACACTAATGATGAGGATCTCCAGGTCTTCACAAATTTTTCTTTGACTGCATTGGAGTTCGTTACGGTGGGAGCACATGCACTGATGATGGTATGGCACTTTCCTGCAAGTGGCAGTCGCATTGTCACGAGCCTGTTGTTCACTCCTTTTTGGAAGCATACAAGTTTGCTACTAAATTAGATCTGATTCATCATAGCTGCCACTTCAGAAAAACATGTATCCAGCTCTGACTTTGGTAAAATAGCT